AGCAGGCCTAGTAGGCCCTATGTCTCATGAAACCATCGACGAATTACAAGTTACACAACAGCAAAAGTCAGGGGGCACATGAACCGACTACCGACATCCTGTTTTGAAACTCACGCCTTATTAACCACTTCTTTTGCAATTTCTGCCGCAAATGTAGGCGTTGTAAAGTCATGGATCGCTCACGACCTCACTGGCTCAACGTAATGGTAACCTGGAAAGATTGTACCATTTTTGGCAAGTTTTAATCTGAATGTCAAAAAACAGGTGCCCTGTCATATAATGGTAGACGAGGTTTAGTAATGTTGTATGTTTAAAAGTTAATTCGAAAATACTATTTTATTTTGTTTAAGAATGCTATTGTTACATTCCTTTAACAAGGCTATATGTATACACACACACACACACATTTCAAAACATAATATTACAAACAGGTTCCACATTTGTACACATAACTGTCCGCCATGCTTTTTATCTGATAGAAGTCTTTTTAAAAGGCAGTAAAGACGTGTAGAGCTTCAACATTCAAGCTCCATATAGACTTTATTTCTTTAAGGCCAAGCAATCGGGTCCTTGACACACCGCAAAGGAAGCATTCAGCTTTATCCGACAATTTATTTCCCTTTGAGATAAGCAGCTGATAATGAAGACGGGCAGTGCGATAAGAAACAAAGTGATCTACAAGCTAGCACTCAGGGAATTCTCGGAAAATCTCAAGCAACTAGTGGGTAAATGTTTTAAGGTGAAAGACTCCTGCGGCACTAAATAACATTATGAACAAGTGGACGTGGCAGCAATGACATTATAAGAAAACCTTGTAGCATAGTTACTGTATAAGATGAAGTTTTAATCTCGAATGCAATTTGTTTTATTGGAATAAAGCCTATTTGACAGATTTTTCCTACTTCACAAAACAACCCCTGGTCATCCAAATTATAGTCGAAGATTTGAATTCGGCTTTTTCTTATCAGCTGAGCAATATTTTATTTATTTTTACTTTTACGTCTTTAAATTTTATTATTATTATTATTATTATTATTATTATTATTATTATTATTATTATTATGTGAATCTCTCCATCTCTTAGATGTTCTTCTGGGTCTTTTTTCTGTGTGTCAACTGCTTCCTGCAGCTTAGACACCGTACTTTTCGCAAAATGTGAGCCGTTCCAAGTATGACTGACAGTTGTGCCCTTCCAACAATGTTAGGCAACTTCTCGAAACAGGCTTCTGCGTTCTTCGGGATTGTTCCTAGTGCCCCAATCACAACTGGTATCACTGACACTTTTGATCCTCTTCTATTATTATTATTATTATTATTATTATTATTATTATTATATTCCTCAAACTAACCCGATGAAAAGAGGCAAGAGTCATTTTCAGATCACTTTAAAATAGCAGAGTAACTCGTATATATATATTAACGGAACAGTAAGATAACTTAGGACAGGTTTGTACTAATTGCTTTCAACCCATGCTGTCAAAACTAGTGCTACAGCTGTCGTGTTGATCCAAAAAATCCCTGAAAGGGAAAAATTATATTCATCCCCTAAAAGGCACACGCCCTATCACGAAAGTCGGTTTCAAAAGACTTACTGTACAGTATACTACCTGATTCCCGTCACATCAATCACTGAACCATGATAAGAGATTAGTATAACAATAATATAAAAAAAAAGAATAAGAAAAGGTTCTGACTGTGAACCGAACCCTCTAAGCTGAGATAAGCAGTCAAGAACGTTACCACTCGGCCATCATTATTGTAGTGCTATTGACAATATATGATACCTTTTACACATGCCAAAGCTTTACGGAAATCACTTAAGGCTAGAAAATGCCTTCAAAATATACTTTTAACAGTTATAATCAAATTCAAACTACGGCCACTATCTTCCCACTGCCCTAAGGTATTGCCACACCTGTCAGTTGTCAACGGGTCGTTGTAGTTTTGGAGAAAACGTGAAAAGGGCACTTCGGCTCATCTTCAATTACCAAATAGGCGTAGAAGACAGGGAAGGGCGATCCCATTATCTTCACCTCAGTCATAAACACAAGCAGCAGGACACGGTAAAGAGGATAACAAATATCTTTCTGCACACTTTTAAAACCGTAACACCCACTTACAATTTGCTACCTTTGCACTTTTGCTACCAGGAGTAAGATTTCACCACAGATTTGCCCACAGAGAGTATAATTGTTTCAGTTGGATTATATCCACTTACAACAAACACCCACTTAAAATTTGCTTCCTATGCGCTTTTGCCATGCACAAGGAGTAAGATTTAACCGCAGGTTTGCCCACGGAGAGCATTTTTGCATCAGCTGGATTACTTCACGCACGCTGAAGAAATCAGAAAGAAGGCGTTGAATGATACTCCTTAATGCGTACAAATATAATATATAAACACACTGGCAAAATAAAGACAGAAGAGGAAGAAAAAGAAGGGAAAAGAGCAACTTCCGCCAGCCGCCCTAGCCTTTCCTTGGTTAATCCTGTCGTCTATTCTTTCTATATACTCTCAGCGATCTTAATGAAGATAGAGATTATATCACAACTAAACAGCAAAGCTCGCAAACATACAAACACCATACAAGAAATGAGACAGCAAAGCTGTCAAATGTTCGGACACATACCCCGGTATGTGTGCATATGTATGACGTTGCACGCACTCGCGAAGGACAGCAAACAACGAAAACAACAACAACAACAATCTACATGCATTTTCATTGGTATCGTATGTGTGGGCAACGTATGTATCGTGAATAATTTTTACTAATCGTTTGAAGGTAACTTCCGTCTTTTGTCACTTTTCTCATTTATTGCAACGTAATGTACAGTAGAAATGAGGCGTTGGCTCATCAGTTGTAATCGGATAACATTTATTAAAATGTAGGTAACGTACATGTATCGAGTGATATCAAACTCCATGTCAAACTCCGTATGGAAAAAATAACAATGAAGATTAGAATATGCGACGTAGAAACATACATGGTTGCAAGCACTTATATAATTACATTGTTGCGCCAACGGACAACAACAAAAATAACAACAACAATCTACACGCAATTTGGTAACGTAGTCTACTAGATCAATGCATCGGTAACGTTTATGCATAATAAGAATAATTTTTCCAATATTTTGAAGAAAACTTCCCTCTTTTGTCCCGTTTTTATTTTATTATAACGTTATGTATATTAAAAATAATGTCTTGCAGCACCAGAGGTTGTAATCAGCCAACAGTAAAAAAAATATAGGTAACGTATATTGTATCGAGGGATATCAAACCCCGTATATAACAAAGCAAATTGTGCGACGTAGAAACATACGTGCCCTCATGTAGGCCTATGAGGTTGCACGCACTCACACTGCATGAACATACAACAAACAACGAAAATAACAACAACAGCAATCTCCACGCAATTAAGTAACGTATACATGTATCGGTAACGTATTTGGTTCAATGCCCGAGCTTTTGATTTGTTGCATTCTTCAGATCAGGGACTCATGCAATAAACAATTAGTAAACTCCTAACATACATGTAAGTGTACGAATGTACGACGACGCATGCACTCACAGTACAAGCAATGAAACAATATTAAAGGGATAATCTTGAACTCTTCGTTTTGGCCAAAAAATGAATTTTCCTGGAGTAAACAACAATTTTCCCATACTTACCAATGGTTAATGAATCCATTTTTACATTCAAAGTTAGTCCCTGTTTTTTTCTAAAAAAGTTT